ACGGACCAAGTCAACACTTCTGAATCAATACTAGCTGCGATTCCATAGCAACAAAAAAAGCAATAAGAATACTAATACTAGGTAAAAAACGGTAATAATGATAGTAATGGTATTAATAATTGTAATAAACCCTAAAGCTTAAACCTCAGATCCCAAATACTATGGCAGCTTCCATGTTCTTATCCATTATCCCTATATAACCCTAGACCCCAATAGACCATAGTAGTTTACATGTTATTTTCCATTAGTACTGACAACAGCCCAGAAAGAGCCTCGTACATGGCACCCGCTGAGCCATTCGAGACGTCCCAACCTTGTTGAACAAGTCACAATGGGTGTGGGGTTCAAGGTTTAAGGTTGTGGGTTCAGGGTTTGGAGTTTTGGGTTCAGGGACCCTAAACCCTAAACCCTAAACCCTAAACCCTAAACCATAAAGGATGGTGGGTTCAGGGTTTAGGGTTTAGGCGGCTGACGCAACAAGCCCATGTTCCAACTTTTTTTAGGTAACTAGGAGCCCTAAACCCTCAACCCTGAATAGTAGTTTCCATTTTCTTTTCCATTATCACAATATGAGCTATAGTCTAAACTCCTTAAAGGGGGTTATATATGGGATTATATAGAGAATTACTATAGGGGTTATTAAGGGGGATACTAGGAGTTTAGACAGTAGCTCATATGGAGATCCAAGATCCTGGCCGTAAACTACCGCATTGTTTAGAATGCGCTCGATCTCGGGCAGGTCCTTCATGGAGGCCTCGTCTGAGAGATGAGGCTGCCGAGCAAACCATGCACGGTTTAGGGGTCTAAACTCCCTTAAGGGGGTTCTATAGGGGATCATATAGGGTTTAGGGTTTAGGATTTAGGGTTTAGGGTCTAAACTCCTTAAAGGGGGTTATATATACCCCAANNATGAAATGGAAACTGGGATGATAGGGTTGTTTTAGGGGTTCGGGCCGAATGTCAGCTATAGTCCAAAACTCCCTAAAGGGGATTATATTGGGGAGTTTAATGGGGGTTCTAGGAATTTAGTCTGTAGCTCAAGTGGGGCTTTGGCAGCTTCGCGCAGTTCGAGCTTCGCCAGCCTCAGCAAACTGAATCGATTCAGCAAGGTCTAGCAACTCTGAGCATTGCAAGATACTGGTCATATGAGCTGTAGTCTACACTCCTCAAAGGGGGTTATATAGCAGACTTCATCGGGTTCCTATTAGGATACTAGGAGTTTAGATAACCCCATTGTAGTAGTTTCCATGTTCTTTTCCATTATCCCTATATAACTCCAATATATCCCCCTGTAAGGCCACTATATTCATATGACCCCATAAGGGTTTTTATATATCCCCTATATCCTAAACCCTAAACCCTAAACCCTAACATATTATAGTGGAATTAGGCAGCGGCCTCTCTTCGGCACGCCTTGGCACGACTTCATGCTTGCATTGATCATGCGGTCAAACATTTGCTGAAGGTGTTGCAGGTAATATTGGGGTAATTTTGGGTTTATATTATATTGGGGTTATATTGGGGTTATATTGGGGTAATATTGGGGTAATATTGGGGTAATATTGGAATAATATTGGGGTTATATTGGGGTTATAATGGAAAAGAAAATGGAAACTACTACTTGTATAATGGGTTCTGAGTCCTGCAACATCTTCCATGCTACCCCTCTGCGCGCAAAGTGTGCTCAGGCCCATGACTGTAGAAGCTGTACTCTAGGCGAGAGCTTCAGCAGTGGACACCCAAACATCTCATACCCCATTCAATGCCCATGCTGCGTCGGGTTGACACATCCAATATCTTGCCATTGTGCTTCAGCTGGCAAGGTCGGACAAAGTGTGTAGAATCGGCATGCACGGGACTGCATATGATGTAGAGATTGAAGCAGAACCGTCTAAAGTCATCTTCAAGGAGCGCCTGCGTGAGACATTCGAAGCTGGCGTTGCTCAATCTGATTGCAACGAACCATACTCTCCCACGGAAGGCTACCTGAGCGCATGGCTTCAAATCATCTTCTTCAACCTCAGTCTCAATGCACAGCCACACGCAATCATGCCATAATGCTCAGTTTGCTACCTATGCTTCTGACCTGCAAAGCTTGCGCAATCTTAGTGTGTGTAACTAGGGGACCACACGCAAGGATCACCAGTGTTTCTTTTGGTGGTTGAACCTAGTAAGGTTATATTCCTCATATAAAATACTCTACCCCAAAAGGAGGAAAGAATCTTATTCTATATTGGGTACCATAGTATCCCCAAAAAAAATACTACTCATTTATCCAACCAGCGTAGCTTGCGCAAACGAAAACGAGGGGATGCTCTGACCCTGAACAACATGGCCCAGTTTAGATCTGTCGACTGTAGGTGCAGGGTTGCTAGATAGGGTTTAGGATTTAGGGTTTAGGGCTTAGCGTTTAGGGTTTAGGGTTTAGGGCTCTTGATTTGTTAGCTGCGCAGGCTCTCTCCGTGAGCCATCTTCGCCGGACGCTATCTATTTGGGGTTGACTTGATCTGGGTTGGCCCCTAAAACCCTTTGAAAAATATCAATACATAGGGCCTCGTATTAAAGCCATTAGGGAAAATAGTAAATATCCCAGGGGCCTACCTAGTGATGGGTTTATGAACTAATCTTGTCATACTCTATGCTGGAGGGCTAAAGGCTGAACCATACGGAACAGAGTTGTATTGTCCATCCAAACCGAGGAGCTGGAGACATGGGTAAGCCTAACGCTAGATGCTGGGGGATAAAAAAAAAAGGCGTGATGAATATCACACTGACTAGGCGCAGCATCAACATCGAGATGAGCCATACTGTGAGAGGCCTATGAAAAAGCTGATTCAGCAGCTGGATAGGGATAGTAAGTCATATAGGGATAATGGAAAGCAAAATGGAAACCACTTTCCCGGATAAATACTGACAGTTGGCCGCTGCCCCGCACGTGTCAAAGCTCAGACAGCCTTCGATCCATGTTTGTTCATGGTTGCTGAGGCCACGTCTTTGGCAACCACAGCCTCTTGCAGCACAACTCCTTGGAAAGATCAGCATGATCAGCCTCTGAAATTGGACCTAGCCGTGCTGAAGAGTAAGTGCGGGACGAAGATCGGAAGATGAGGAATCATCATCCAGAGTAGCAAGGATCTGGCAAATTGTTTCTGACATTGCAAACTGGCTTGGCAACCCCTATAATATAGGGGCCTTGTAGGGGGATATATTGGAGTTATATAGGGATGATGGAAAAGAAAATGGAAACTACTACAATGGGGTTACATGAGCTATAGTCTAAACTCCTGGTCTCCCCCTTAATGACCCCTATAGTACTCCGCTATATAACCCCCTTTAAAGGAATTTCGACTATAGCTTATATGGTAGTTTCCCAAAACAAGGTGACCCCACTATAGACCCCAACATACTATGATCCAAATTATGGGGACCCGAGGAAGGGAAACCCCTTATTTTGGGAACCCTGAACCCTA